GTGGGTTCTGCAAACCATGCATCTGTGATGACAACCACTGCTAAAGTGAGTACCACAATGCAGTATCTAACTGTAACGGAACATCTAGGAAACACTGATACTGCATAAATGGATCCTGTGCCTGCAAAATGTAACATGAGAAATCTTTACTAAAAATGCGTCTACAAAGAACATGAATAGGAAAGAAGGGGGATGTTGCTGTTCTTCTCTCCTGTCTTGTGCATCATGTGAAAAGCTCGACATGAAAAAAGCACCTCTCCCATAATGAATTTTACAATAGGAGAGGAAGACGAGAGACAATATGATCACTGATTCAGTAGGTGCACCCCTTTTCCATAAAAAACAGAATGCAGGATATGTACATTAGTTTATATTCTTGTTACAGAGAAGTCAACAGGCGGTGTGCGCAGAGGAAGTTACTGATTTAAAATGATTAATACAAATGACAGATTCTGAACAAGTGCACAATAAGCAGTGCTTTTATTAATAGAACTGCAGCCCCTTTCCTGTTCATGAACATAAAGATGTTTTGAATTCAGTGGCAACTTTAAGACCAACAAAGTTTCATTCAATGTATAAGCTTTTGTGTACACACACTCTTCTTCAGATACATTGAAATGGAAATTACCAGTCCATATATATACAGTTAGAGGGTGAACAGCAAATTAACATACAACATATGCTACAACATACAATGTTGTATGCTAATTTGCTGCTCACCCTCTAGCTATATATATGGACTGGTAACTTCCATTTCAACGTGTCTGAAGAAGTGTGCGTGCACACAAAAGCTTATACCTTGAATAAAACGTCGTCGATCTTAAAGATGCCACTGAACTCAAATTTTGTTCAGTTGCTTCAGACCAACACGGCTACCTACCTGAACCTATAAAGATATTTGTTTTACATAAGAATCTTGAAGTAACTGCAATGCTGCCAATAGTGATTTTTTAAAAAGCTAAATTAAGCACAGAATCAATAAGCAAATGATCTATTATCAAGCTCATCTGACTGTATTTTATCCACTGCGACTTCCTGTGGTTTCCTCCAGCTTTACAAAAGGACATATCTAGTCTCCAAAACACCCTGCAGAGACTGATTTGTTCAAGAAAGAAAATTAGATACCCTTATGACAAGCCATTTCAAAAACATAAACAGCAACATAAAAAAGGAGATGATAGGACAGGAACCAGAACGTCATTAAATTTATTTTTGAAGGTTCAAATTGCACCATCTCTCCATAGGGTTAAAGGAGTCTTATTTTGAGAGAAATTATATTTAGTCTACACTTCAAATACCATGGCAGAGTCATTTCCAAAGGCTACCTCTTCAGAGAAAAGATAGCAAGACGTTTCTGAACTACCTGTACCTTGTATATATTTTTTTAAGTTCAACCACCTAACTCATCCCCCTCATGGATCACTGCCTTGTCATGGCGAGGGGGCTTGCGTGGTTCGATGAGGCTGTGGGCTATGCCGTGGAGGGCCACCCAAGACGGACAGGCCACAGAAGAGAACTCAGACCAAGCGTGATCCCCTGGAGAAGGTAATGGCACCCCACTCCAGTATGTTTGCCAAAAAAAACCCATGGACAGTATCAAAAGACTAAAAGATATGACCCCGGAAGATGAGCCCCTCAGGTCGGAAGGTGTCCAATATACTACTGAGGATAAGCAGAGGGCAAGTACAAGTAACCCCAGAAAGAGTGAAGCGGCTGGGCCAAAGCCGAAAGGACGATGAGTTGTGGATGTGTCTGATGGTGAAAGGAAAGTCCGATGCTGCAAAGAACAATACTGCATAGAAACATGGAATGTAAGATCTATGAATCAAGGCAAGCTTGACGTGGTCAAAAATGAGATGGCAAGACTGAACATCGATATCTTAGGAATCAGTGAACTAAAGTGGACAGGAATGGGCGAATTTAACTCAGAAGACCATTATATCTACTACTGTGGCCAGGAATCTCGTAGAAAAAATGGTGTGGCCTTTACAGTCAACAAGAGAGTGCAAAAGTCAGTACTGGGATACAATCTCAAAAATGACAGAATGATTTCGGTCCGATTCCAAGGCAAACCATTCAACATCACAGTAATCCAAGTCTATGCCCCAACCACTGATGCAGAAGAGGCTGAAGTGGACCGGTTCTATGAAGACCTACAACACCTCATAGAACTAACACCAAAAAATGATGTCCTCATCATCATAGGGGACTGGAATGCTAAAGTAGGAAGTCAAAAGGTAACCGGAATAACAGACAAGTTTGGCCTTGGAAAGCAAAATGAAGCAGGGCAAAGGTTAACAGAGTTTTGTCAAGAGAACACACTGGTCATAGCGAACACCCTTTTCCAACAACCTAAGAGGCGACTCTACACATGGACATCACCAGATGGGCAACACCGAAATCAGATTGACTATATAATTTGCAGTCAAAGATGGAGAAGCTCTATCCAGTCAGTAAAAACAAGACCTGGAGCTGACTGTGGTTCAGATCATGAGCTACTCATTGCAAAATTCAGACTTAAACTGAAGAAAATTGGGAAAACCACGAGGCCATTCAGGTTTGACCTAGATCGCATCCCTGATGAATATACAGTAGAGGTGAAGAATAGATTCAAGGGTCTGGATTTGATAGATAGAGTGCCTGAAGAACTATGGACGGAGGTTCGTGACATTGTACAGGAGGCAGCAATCACCACCATCCCAAAGAAAAAGAAATGCAAGAAAGCAAAGTGGCTTTCTGATGAGGCTTTACAAATAGCAGAGGAAAGAAGGAAAGCGAAAGGCAAAGGCGAAAAGGAAAGATTTACCCAACTGAACGCAGATTTCCAGAGAACAGCAAGGAGAGATAAGGAGGCCTTCCTGAATGAACAGTGCAAAGTAATAGAAGAAAACAATAGAATGGGAAGGACTAGAGATCTCTTCAAGAAAATTGGAGAAATCAAGGGAGCGTTCCATGCAAAGCTGGCCATGATAAAGGACAAAAACGGTAGGGACCTAACAGAAGCAGAAGAGATTAGGAAAAGATGGCAAGAATACACAGAAGAACTATACAAGAAAGACCTCGATGTCCTTGACAACCACGACGGTATAATCACTGACCTCGAGCCAGACATCCTGGAATGTGAAGTTAAATGGGCCTTAGAAAGCATTACTAACAACAAAGCTAGTGGAGGTGATGGTATCCCAGCTGAGCTATTCAAAGTCTTAGAAGAGGATGCTGTTAAAGTTCTGCACTCCATTTGCCAGCAAATTTGGAAAACGCAACAGTGGCCACAGGATTGGAAAAGATCAGTATACATTCCAATCCCAAAGAAGGGCAATGCCAAGGAATGTTCAAACTATCGCACAATTGCACTCATATCACACGCTAGCAAGGTCATGCTCAAGATCCTACAAGCTAGGCTTCAACAGTACGTGGATAGAGAACTACCAGAAGTACAAGCTGGGTTTCGAAGAGGTAGAGGAACGAGAGATCATATTGCCAACATTCGCTGGATTATGGAGAAAGCAAGAGAGTACCAGAAAAATATCTACTTCTGCTTCATTGACTATGCTAAAGCCTTTGACTGTGTGGATCACAACAAACTATGGCAGGTCCTTAAAGAGATGGGAGTACCAGACCACCTCACATGTCTCTTGAGAAACCTGTATAAGGGCCAAGAAGCGACAGTTAGAACCGGATACGGAACAACTGATTGGTTCAGCATAGGAAAAGGAGTACGACAAGGATGTATACTGTCACCTTGCTTATTTAATATATATGCAGAGTACATCATGCGAAATGCTGGCCTGGATGAATCACAAGCGGGAATTAAGATTGCTGGGGAAAAGATCAACAACCTCAGATATGCAGATGATACCACTCTAATGGCTGAAAGTGAAAAGGATCTAAAGAGCCTCTTGCTCAGAGTAAAAGAGGAGAGCGCAAAAGTGGGCTTGAAGCTCAACATCAAAAAAACTAAGATCATGGCATCCGGCCCCATCACTCCTTGGCAAATAGAAGGGGAAGTCGTGGAAGTAGTGACAGACTTCACGTTCCTGGGATCCCAGATCACCGCAGACTGTGACAGCAGCCATGAAATTACAAGACGCCTGCTCCTTGGGAGGAAAGCGATGGCGAACCTAAACAGCATGATAAAAAGTAGAGACATCACCCTGCCAACAAAAGTCCGCATGGTCAAAGCAATGGTATTCCCAGTAGTCATGTATGGCTGCGAGAGCTGGACTATAAGGAAGGCCGAGCGCCGAAGAATAGATTCTTTTGAACTATGGTGCTGGAGAAGACTCTTGAGAGCCAAATAATAGATTCTTTTGAACTATGGTGCTGGAGAAGACTCTTGAGAGTCCCTTGGACTGCAAGAAGATCAAATCAGTCAATCCTAAAAGAAATCAACCCTGACTGTTCCCTGGAAGGCCAGATAATGAAACCGAAGCTCAAATACTTTGGCCACCCAATGAGAAGGGAGCACTCACTGGAGAAGACCCTGATGCTGGGAAAGATTGAAGGTCAAAGAAGATGGGGACGGCAAAGGATGAGATGGTTAGACAGTGTCAAACATGAAGTTGAGCCAACTTCAGAGGACAGCGGAAGACAAGAGGGCCTGGCGTGATCTTGTCCATGGGGTCGCGAAGAGTTGGACTCGACTGTGGGACTGAACAACAACAACAAAAACCTAACTCATTCTCATACTCCCTGCCACCGGCTGTAAAATGTTTCACCACCTCCACCCTTCCCAAGATACCTTCCCAACAGCCCTTTGAGGGAGGTAGATAACTGATCCGCATGCTCTAGAAACACTTTCAGGAGCAGTCTGGTAGCCAGAAGATGCCGCAGAGAGCTGCTTTGGAAGTCAACTGGAAGAGCTTCCACGAAAAGGGGGCCTGAAGCCTCCTCTCCCATCCCTCGAAGGGGGTGGCTGCGAGGAGAAGCCCAAAAGTTACCTTCCCGCCGGAGGGAGGGAGGGAGGGAGGGAGGGGGAAAGAGGGCTCCTATCTGGTCACCTTTGAAGAAGCGCAGCGCCAGGCCGTACAACTCCTCCAGGCCGAAGCCCCACCGGCGCTCCAGGCTCAGCGCTCCGTCGCCGCTGTCCCCGCCGGCGTCATCGTCATCGTCGGCCTCCTGCCCAGGCTGAACCCCACCACTCCCTGCCCGACTGAGGCGATCCACCCCGGCAGGGAGCGGCCTAACATCCGGCTGGCCCGCCCTGGCGTCCTCCGAGTCCGGGCTCAGAGTCAGGCCGTCAATGGAGACCTCCAGCCGCTCCGAGCTCAGCGCCGTCGCGGCCGCCATCACCTGCCTCGCCCCCTGCTGCTCAGCTGGGCGGCCACGTCTCGACTTCCTGCTCCCTCCTCGCGACCCGGATCTTCCGGCTCGGAGCGGCCCGGCGAGGCTGGTGGGTAGGGAGGAGGAGGAGGAGGAGGAGGAGGAAGCGCCGTCTTCTGCGGCCTTTCCCCTACTTTCCCTTCGTGCGTTTCTCGCAGGCTTCTTTGGCCCATACTCGACGAGGCTTTTTTTCTTTTCTTTTTTTGAGCGCAGGTGTTGGATTGCCGCCTTTCTTGCTAGAGAAGTGCTGCTAGTGCCGCAGGTGCGCAGCAAGGCGAAGTGCAATCGATGCCGCGGAAAACTAGACCTGTTGAATCATGTCGCCCGTAGAAGGGTGTGGGGACCCTGTGTGGAAAGAAGGTAGCAATCTACAGGTTTCACATGCATTTGCGAGCCAGCGCACCCCGCACATGCCCCGCTGGAAAACAAACGTTTCTTCAGATGCTGTACAGAATAAAACGGGAGTCCAGTGGCGCCTGCGAGACTAACATTTATTCCAGCATAAGCTTCCATCAGTCAGATACTCGTGTTTCTGACAGGCAGAAATCAGCAGATGAAACGCCTCACCATGAACGGTCAGCAAGCAATAAGACTTCACCTGTTGGTTTCTGACTTCTGTTTTATCAGCTACTGAAGGCACAAGGGGAAAACGGCCAACACTTCATGTGTGCTACTTGATTCACTTTTGAATGGATGCCACAGCCTGGTCCCATACCCTTAAATTGCTAGAGCAGGTGGGGATCACCACACATGCACTCACTAGAGCCAGGACACTGGTTCTCAAACTGGGGCTGCTACAGGAATGTGCATTGTGATTCTTGCACATGGGTTGTGAGGCCAGGAGGAGGAACTGTGAGCTGAGACACAAAGGTCTGGAAGGTTTCATGGCAAATCTGCATAATTTGCAAATGATACTAATAAAATATAATTTTTTTGTAAACCATAAGAGAAAGTTAATTTTTAGGCCCCCCGGAGGGGATTTTTTATTGCATTTGTAATAGACTGCAAGTTAGTTTTGTAGGCCGGTGCTGAGTACAGGTAAGAAAGTGGGACCTCCCATCATTGCTTCAAGCGCAATGCCAAGAGAAACAGTACCAGTAAGAAATGTAAATTACTCTCAGCCCTGTTGTTAACTTACTTGAGATTCTTGTGTTTTATGTTAAGTAAGAGGCAAAGTAGTATAGAGTTACTTTGCAAGTGGGTCCTAACAAGTAGAATAAGTTCAGAATTGGGTCCCATTTCGAAAAGGTTTGAGAATCACTGAGCTCAGGAATACAGTTACACTGGCACTGTTTAATACAGACAGTTCCTATTTGCTGGTTCCTAGCACTAACAAAATTCATTTTTTTTTCTTTTGAGAAGACGTGGGATACCTTTTAAATTTTTATTGTTGTGTCTAGGGGCCACTGGCAACTCTGCACCCCTGTGCAATACACATGCTTGGACACATTAATATTTCCCTTGTGTTTGCCACCTCCATTCTGTTAGATGCATTTTAATGTCTGCAAGAGTTTTCTTTTTAAATAAAACAATTGAAGTGTCAGACTAGGATCTCGGAGATACAGGTTCGAATGTTCACTCTGCCAGGGAAGTTTACTGGATGACTTTGGGCCAGTCACATAGTGTCAGTGTAATCTTCACAGGGTTGTTTTGAGGACTGTGTAACCACCCTAAACATACAACCAGAATACAGGACTTAAATGTTAAGTCATAGGTAATCTGTGTTAAATTATCTTGAATATGTTCCTCTAATGCGTAATTGCAAAAGGATCTTATCAGGGCACTGTGCCAATGAAGAAGAAACTGCCAAGTGAACACTTCAGAAAATAACCATCTGACACACAGTGGCTGGCATCAGATGTCTGATCATGAATCTAGATTGCTTTCTGGCCATGCATGCATGATCAAAACATCATACTCCCTGTTAATTAGCAAATGTTACCATTCCCATGTTCCAGGCTCAGCTGCTAATAAGGATTAATTTTCAGTTTCACATAAAGTAAAAAATTGAAAGGGTAGGATTGTGTACAACTTTGTCCTGCTTTGGCAAGTCTTTGGAGGCTGTTATTTTTATAAAAAATAAAATCTTTGGCTAATTTGAACATATGAAGCTCTCTGACTATTGGCCTCTCAGAAGTCAGTACTGTCTGCTCAGACTACTCATTTACTTCCTGGTCCTTTTTTAACTGGAGATGCCAGGAACTGAAGCTGGGACATTCCATGTGCTAAACAGGTGCTCTGCCTCTGAGCTACAGGCCCAGTGAGCCACAGAGCCACACCCGCTGTCTTGACTGAATCACACACCTATCACTTCCAAAGAGCTCTGGGATCATTTTATCAAACTGGAGTAAGCTAACTAGATTTCTTGCTGACAGAAACATTGGGTAGTTGCCACCAGTGTTCCCTCTAAGCTGAGTTAGTGTTAGCTAGCTCCAGCTCACACATTTTTGGCATAGTTCAGGAAGGAGGGCTCCAGAGCAAACTAATTTATGCAGTAGCCAAATCACTTGCTCACAACTTTAATGCCAGTATCTCACAAAGTAGAATTTTTGCTCACAAGACTCCACAGCTTAGAGGGAGCATTGGACACAACATGCGATAGATTGACTCACTCAAGGAAGCCACAGCCCTCAGTTTGCAAGACTTGAGCAAGGCTGTTAATGATATGATGTTTTGGAGGACATTAATTTATAGGGTCGCCATAAGTTGGAAGCAAATTGACAGCACTTAACTCACACACATACATGATACTTTATACCCATAAAATATTAATGAACTATTAATAGTAATATGGTAATATTTCTGTTTTATATCTCCAAGAAAAGAAAAGAACCCTACAAGTAAAAGTCATGTAATGCATTTCAATAGGACCAACCAAAACATCACAAAACAGTGCACAACCTTTTGGGTTCTCCAGAAGTCTTCATCAGGCTGGATGTTAAGGGCGGGAGAAAAATATGTTTTTCAAACTATAATTGTAAGATTTGTCGTCTGCATCTTGCACAGGATGTATTTCACACAAAATTAGTTTTAAATGGTACTGAAGTCTTAGAAAGGGGGAAATGTCACTGGTTAATCAAATTCTCTTTGGTACCAGACTGCATATTCAGATTCCCTGAAAAGCCAAGAGCAAACAAAAACCACGGTAGTCCTAAACTAGAGATCAGTTTAGATGATGCACTAGGTAAATGGAATGTAATGAAAGTCAAAATGGGTAATAGTACCTAGTGGTAGAAACCACATCTTCCTTCTTCTCTCTTTAAAAAGACAGTCAATAATAGCCTAAGCAGACTTCTGGTCTAAGCATTTTGCCGCTCGGACGTGTCTCGTCTTGCTCGGATGGAGACGCGCCGAGACCCAGCTGACGGGAGGGGTTCGAGTTCGTCCCGGACCCCCCCCCCCGGGGTCTTTATAGGAGACCCCCAGCCTGGGAAGCTGAGGAGAGCCTCTTCCAAGGGGACGCCCGAGGAATTGAGGCTCACCTTCTTCCCCGATAGGTACCGTCGCCGTGGAGCCAGCATGGCGCCTAGAGACAACTGCCGGAGCAAGCGATCATGACCAACTTGTTAAAAAGACTTCCAAAAGATCTCCAAGGCTACAAACTGTGAGTTAAGCAAAGCTCAGGTGAAAAATAAGCGAATGAGGCCTTGACAGTAATTGGAAGCGTCTAAGTTTGAAACGCGGGGGGAGGAGATTTTAAGCCCCCCCCCCATAGGAGTAAACTGTAAAAATTGGTTTTAAAGTGAAAATAAAGAGACTTTGAGCCAAACCAAGCGCATAAGAAGTTAAGCAAACGCAAAAGCTGCTAAAATATACTAAGCGGAATTAAAACGTATAACTTTTGCTTTGTTTTGGAAAACTTACTTCTTGTTGATATTATGGCTGGGAGAGGATGGAGAGCGCCGGAGAAAAAACTGGTGACCAGAATTAACATACCAACGACTCCCTCCCAGAACCAGGAAGCATCTGCAGACCTTTCTTCACTGTTAGCAAATGCACTGCGCCCTCTAATGGAATGCGGATAAAACGCAACTAATACAGTTCCAGCTGGAAAGATCCATGTATGTTCTACGTTTCCATGGAATACCTGAGGATAAGAATGAGGATCTAAAGGAACTCTTGGCGGTTGCCTTGGCCCCACTAATGGATTACAAACAAGAAGACTTAATTAAGGAAATGGATGTGGCGTACAGGACTTATCCGGACTTTATAAAGAAAAATAAACTCCCAGGGGAAACTTATTTAAAATTCACGAAACGATCAACCAGGGAACTGGTGCTAAAGTCAACAATGGGGAAATCCTTAAAAATCAAGAATGAAGAGATAAAAATTTTGAAAGACATTCCATTCGAAGTAAGAAAAAAGAGGAAACTATACAGGATGCTTACTCTTTCTCTGCAAAAAAAAAGGGAATAGAGTATAGATGGCTATTTCTGGAGGCGTTGAGTTTTAATTACCAGGATAAAAAATATAAAATTGACTCTGTTCCAAAAGCAGAAAGATTTATGGATCAAATGCGTAATGTAAAAAAGAAGCAGAAGGAAAAAAATTTAAAAACTGATGCGGAGGAAGAAGAAGATGAGGAGTCCTACTCACAGGACTCAACAAGCCAAACTTCCTCGTCATCAGAATCATCTGAATCAGAGAAAGGAGTGGCCGCTGCCAAACTGTATTTAGACTTCCCTGACCCATTTCCCATAGTAATAGTGATAGGGCATTAGTACTTCTTTCCCCATCCCATATATATGTAGTGTGTAGAAAATGCAAAAAAAAAAAATTCCCCTTCGGGGGGCCAAAAAACAAAACAAAACTACAGAAAACGAAGAAATCTAAGAAGAAAAGACTCTAAAACTAAAGCATGAGTGCTAAGGGCAGTAATTGTGCCAAGCTAATAACTTTATAATCAAACTAATCTCTGTATAACCTGTATTAATAGGTTTAAAAGGTCTATTTTAAAGCTTTTTTAGATCGTGATTTATATTAGTCTTTACCCCTTCCC